TTTTCTGTTCAATATTTATTTTTTGAGTGTTAGGCAAAATAAATAAATTAACAAAAGTAAAAGCTTTTTCAAGCTCATACCCAGCAAATGTGGACACATGGTACATATAAAATTTGACCCGACACACTGATATGTTTTTATCACTGTGAAGCGTTTATTGACGTGACCCACGCCTCCCCTGCAGCTGAGCCAGGGACCACACCTCCACAGTACATTACTTCCACTAACTGTTTTTTTTTTTTTGATTTTCTCTGAGTAATCTGTACTGGGGTAAACCAAATGGACAACACTGTCCGAGCTTTCTTTCTTTTATTTTGTTTTTTTACAGTTTAACTCTTACTTTCACATTTCTATAAGATTGTAAGAGATTTATCAGCAAATCTGCTCCCTGCAGCAAAAATACAGCAAACAACTACAAACTCTTTATGAGCTTTATAAGATAACAAAGAAACAGTCCTCACTAACAGTGTTTTTTTATTACTGCTGCAGTGTTTATGAAACTTATGTGTTACTTAGTAACAGCCTCAAAGTTCACCTACACAAGGACAGTGAAAGTGAAACTATCACTGATCATTTGTACTTGTTTTTCTTTCACAGTAATTCAGTGAGTTTCAGAGAGAGAGCACAGTCAAAAGGTGTGTTGTCTTCTAAATTTAATGTTGTTATTAATGGGACATGTAGCTTCTGTCTAAAAAACTGTTAAAACTGTTAGAGTCAAACTTGGTTTGAAGAATATAGTCCAAGTGTGAGTTGTTCTGAAGCTTTCATGTAGGTCAGAAAAGTGCATCTATAAACCAGATGTATCTGTAACTTTACAATAGGTGACAGTACTGTAATTGCACAAGGCAGTATAGATAGGATGATCTACACTCTGTGAAGTACTGCTACAAAAAAAAGCATGTTTTATGTAGATATGCAAGTTAGATGACAGACAAAGAATTCCTCCCAGGAATTCATTTAGTCCTAATTGTACAACTTATGTTACTGAAACACAAAACAGAATTTTCCAGTCAGCAGTGGTTTCTATTGTGTTAATGTTATCTGTCTGTTTTCAGAGCTGCAGGATGGCTCATCAGCAGAACAGACTGTTTCCTCAGCCACTGCTCAAAGCTTTCAGTGTTCTGATCTTCATCGTTCTCCTAAAGGATGTCTGTAATGGTAATTCATGCATAAATAAATATTGTTGTTGTTTTTTGTCATATTTGAAGCACACATTTTAATTATTTATATTTGTGCTTGAAACATGCCTTCATTAAGATCCATGTTTAATAAGTCACACTGGCAGGATACAGAACAGCTTTTCAGCTTCTGTCAGCAGAGGTATTTGAATAGGATAGGTATACAGTATTATACATTAACATACACTGTACTCTGACACCAACAATAATCTTAATAGTCATGATAGTTAGAATCAGAGAAGATGCTTGTTAGAGACATGACTGACTGCACAGCTACATCTTGCAGGGAATTGCTGAAACAATTTTAGCCCATTACAAATTCATAGTGATTGTGATATTTAGAATCCATTCATGCTCTTTACTCATCTGCCATGATCCACTGGCAGAGGCCATGTGATGCTGTTGGCCTCTGCTAGCACCAATTTAGTGTAGACATAAATACATGACAGTTTGAGGTGAATTGTCTCTTAAAGGGAAATAACAACTTGGGGTGAACATAAAAGTTTACAGTTTACATGCATCGAGTCTCCACATCCCACCTTTAGGTTCAGTAATTTAAAAAAATATTGTGAGATAATGCTAAAAATATTCACTTCTGGCCATTACTTATTTAAGAATTATGATTACTTGTTTTCAGGTCAGCCTCAGTTGATTGGTCCATCTCAGGTCCTGGTGGCAAGAGCTGGTGATGATGTCATTTTGCCATGTCATCTGGAACCTGCATACGATGTTTCTACAAAGACACTGGAGTGGACAAGATCTTCACTTGACCCCAGATTTGTCTATGTTTCACGTGCCAATCAGGAACTCGAAAAATTAAAACATCCTTCTTTCAAAGGAAGGACATCATTGTTTGTTGATGAACTCAAGTATGGAAATATTTCACTGAAAATCTCCAAAGTGAAATTTACCGATACAGGGACATACAAATGCTATATTCCAGATTTGAAAAAAGAAGCTTTAGTCAAGCTAGTTGTTGGTAAGTAGCTTCATGTTGATGGTCTTGCATTGTATAGTCTTGTCCCTGGGATCATTTGAAAGCTCTTTGTCCTTGCCCATGGTGATGGAGAGGTTGAATTGGAAGAAATTGATTCTGTAACATCTTTTTTCTGGGCTTTTGGTTGATGGTCTTTTTTCCTTGTTTAAAATTAAAGCATGACATAAAAAATTGAGACAGTTCATTTCTTTGTAAGTGACCAAACTTAGAAATTCAGAACTCTATTAGCTTTACAGGTACACAAGTATATTTTTGAATCTTATAATATCATTAATGCCCCTTGACTTTTAAATTCCATTTTTTCTTTCGCTCAGCATCAGATACTGCCACCTCACCTGTCATCAGTTTATCAGGGATTGACAAAAACAGAGGAGGAGTGGTGTTACAGTGTGAGTCTGCAGGCTGGTATCCAGAGCCTGAGCTGCTGTGGTTGGACGGTGAGGGAAACCTCCTCTCTGCTGGACCTACAGAGACCCTCAGAGGTCCTGATGACCTCTATACTGTCAGCAGCAGAGTGACTGTGGAGAAGAGACACAGCAACAACATCACCTGCAGAGTCCAACAGAAGCAAATCAGCCAGAGCAGAGAGACACACATACATGTTCCAGGTTCAAATTATATTATTACATTTATAGAAACACTTTTTGAACATCTGAAGTCCAGATTTCTAGAAATGTGTTTTGTTTTGTTTTTTTTACCATTTCAGGGGATTTCTTTGAGATCCCGTCCAGTTCTTCTGCTGTCATCATCGGTTTGGCTGTTAGTTTGGCTCTTTGCATCACGCTGTTAATTTTATCAGCTGTTGTTCTTTTACGTAGAAAGAGGAAACACATGATGAGTAAGTCACTGATTAATTATTGTTTTTCGCTACTATAAATCAATGTTTTCATTGAGACTCTGTTTACTGTTTTTCAAAAAAGAAATTAAATGATGAGAGGTTTAATAATTTAATCCAAGTTTGGGCATTTCCTTCTTATTTAATTTTAATTTCAAAAAGAGAACAACAGAAGACCAAAGGATCAGACTGACTCAGGAGATGCTAAAGATCCTCTGAGGAACAGAGAGGGAGAGCATCTCAATAGCAGCAGCTCTTCTATCAACACTAAGAAGCAGACATGCGTGAGTAGATAAACACGAATAAGTTAAATATCAAAATGTTTACTGTTTTTCAAAAAAGAAATTAAATACTAATCAGGATTTCACAATAAAATTACCTGAAATAAATGGTAAATGGCCTGTATTTATATAGCACTTTACATATCCAGTCATCCACCCATTCACACACACATTCACACACTGGTGATGGCAAGCTACATTGTAGCCACAGCCACCCTGGGGCGCACTAACAGAGGCGAGGCTGCCGGACACTGGCGCCACCGGCCCCTCTGACCACCACCAGTAGGAAACGGGTGAAGTGTCTTGCCCAAGGACACAACGACCGAGACTGTCGGCAACCTTCTGATTACAAGGCGACCTCCCAACTCTTGAGCCACGATCAAGAATAATGCTCAACAGAAAAAGAAAAAAACTGCACACGGTTACCACACAGACATTATGTGCCTTATGTGATTTACTAGTGTGAGTAGAAAGAATTTTCTTTTGATATTAAAGGTGTGAAGCAGAAATAATGTGAAAACATCAGTGTGTTTTCATTTAGTAAAAATGTTGCTACTGATAAAGTTATTTTATATAATCAAGCTTTTCCTGGACTTTGGTTGATGACAACACACATCACCAACAAAGACAATAGGCGTGCTCATTAATAAAAAAAAACAACAACATATATTTAAAAATACAACCCACAAATGAAAAACAAGTTTTTCTACCGCATCATTGTGTTTTATGTCTGTTGGGTCTGTGTTTCCACAAGCCCCGCTAATTCTAGAGACTTATTCATCATGAAGAAAACAAGACAGTTGATCGATCGATTACTTGCGCAAGGGAGGCCTGTGTCCACCACGAAAATGACCCCGACGACGGCCTCCTCTCGCTGCCTTTTATTGAGAGACAGTTCACACAAAACACATCACACCAAAGCAACGCCCACATGGTTCTAAGACAAGGCATTGTATGTATATGTGTGAACTTCTGTAAGAATGTGTGTGTGTGTGTGTGTGTGTCTATGTCTGTGTGTAAGAATGTGTGTGTGTTACCTCCTGCTGACCAAAGGGTCATAAACGCAGGAAGCTTACATCAAAAAGCACAAGGATGTGTCTGTAATAAAACACTCCAGCCCCCCACCCAGAACCTCGAGAATCTGGGGGGAAGGACAGTGGAATTTCTTTCATCAGAGTTGGCAAGCATAAAAATGACAACATTTAACAATTCACTCTAACAATGTCATATGTGCAGATTTATTAATTGTGGCTTTAATCAGTGTTGCACTCATGCAGTAATTCACATTACACTTTAAAGTAATGTGTTACATTATTTATTACCTGAAGTAAGTAATCCATCCACACTGTGTTATATTAGTTTTGTGTTATTCCATAACAAACCCCAAAATGCACCTTCACATAATTACCATTTATAATATAAACCTTAAGAGTACAATCCCACAGACTGACACAAATCTTCATCCTAATGACACCAGAGGTGACAATGTCAAGACATTCTGTCCATAGAAATATAAATACTAGTGTTAAAAGTTACTCAGTAAAAGTTGAACTACTGATTCAATTTCTTTACAAGTAAAAATGAAAATGTACAGACTCTGAAATGTACTCAGAGTAAGAAAGTAAAAGTAGCTCTTTGGAGGCTCTTTGGACGTTTACCAGTCTACCAGCTATTTTTGTGCAAAGCTAACTAATAATGAAATAATATCAGTAAATGGGAATACAAACGTTAATTCAGTGTAAATTTTAATTCTAATAAATGTAATTAGCTTGAATTATTTAAGCAGAGATTGAGCGACAAAAAGAAGAAAAATAAAAAAAGCTCTATTTTCTGTTGCCTCCATTGTAGAGGGAAACTTTTCATGCATCCAGTCTGTTATTCTAACTCAGTCAGCATAATATAATGATTTCCAGCCTTGTGCTTGTCAACATTCTCACCTGAGTTGATGAGAACATTATTAAAATGATCTCAGCAGATCCTTTTATGGCATGAAATGCTGAATGATGAAATGCAGTGGAAATTAAATTTTTGAGATTAAGTTAATTTTCATGGCAAAGAAGAATTTTGCAATTCATCTGATCGCTCTCCATAACATTGTAGAGCATATGGAAATTGCTATCATAAAAACTGAAGCAGCAAACTTTGTGAAAACAAGTATTTCTGTCATTCTCAAAACTTTTGGCCACGACTGTACAGTATAGATTGTTTCCTTTTTTCCCCCCTCTGAACAGAAGATTAAAGAGGTTAAAGTGGGATTTCTCCATCTCCGAGTCAAGTTAGCTCTTTCTTTTCTGTGAAATACAGCAGCTGGACCTTTAAGAGGACATGAAAGCTGCACATTTAAAGGCTAATGTACACACTGAGCCCTCAAACACTGACATAGATGTAACTGTGAAGCTGGATTTAAGAAATAAGTGCTTAAAGTTTTAAAAACATGTTTAGCGCCATCTTCTGTCAGTACGGAACATGACGTCACGTGGTTGGTTGCGGCCGATAGACTTACATCAGTTTTATGTTCGCTAACTAGTGAGAGAATCGAGAACTGAGAGGAAAATAACGACAGTAAAACTAAAAGTCAGTTTAAGAGGATCACATTTGGGTTTGTAAAGCACTTTATAAATGAGGACACATGACTGACAAAAACTGATTTTTCCTCCTCTGGCTGAGTTTACCGAGCTGTTCAACCAGCTGCTGCCATCAGCGCTATTTTACAACATTTCACAACATAACAGCCACTACATGCACATCACAGCACAAATATAACAAGTTTCTTACCGAAGCACGATCTGGAATTCCATCAAAGTAGGTCAATGTGTGGGAAGGAAAACAGCGGAGGCTCCGGGGAAGAGATGCCACACTTGTTGGAGACCTTATGTTTTTTCCTCACATCATCTCACTGACTGGATTACTTCATATTAGAAGTGACGAAAAGTGAATGTAATGGAAGTGAAGCAGCCTGTAACGTGGAGACTAATTTTCCTGCGGACATGGATGTTAGGATTTCTAATCGTAACTTTATGAAGCTGGAAACCTGCAGTCAGCTGAGACTGAAGAAGTCACTTGGATGAGTCACGAAACGTTTCTCCCACTGAAAACGTCCAGATGAACAGAAACTACTTTTTTGGTGCACACAAATATGTTTTGTTTACTGATGTTTGTTGAGCTGACAGAAATGGAATTACCTGGCTCGATGCTGAAGTACCGCAATATAGACAAAAAGTAAAAAACTTTAACTCCTGACTATGATACTCAGTTTTGCCTCTGGTATCTATTTC